TTATCTGTGATGGAAGCAACACTCAAGTTTATCTGCTACCTTACTTCTCATGGAAAGAACCACTGCAAAGATCAGTCCCTTAAAGGCCTGTCCACTCCAAAGAGTCAGAGAAGCTTAAAAGCCAGCACTGGGAAGGCTGCAACCTAGTGCCAAGGAGCATTATCTTATATGAAAAAATACGTAAAAATAAAAGCATTAACTCACTCAATCTCTCAGAACCTGTCAAGTAAAAGAAAAAATTTTTTTTCTACTTCATGTAAACTATGAAAAAACAAAAAACTAAAAGCCTTGGACTCTCATGACAGAGAATCTACTCATAGACAGTCAGGGCTGGGGCTGGGGCTCAGTGGTAAGAACACTGGAACAGTACGCACAAGACCATTCAATCCTCAACACTGGGGGGTGGGGACCAATAATAATAATGATAAAGAAAGTCTGTCATGTTATAATAATACAGTTCTCATACTTAGCCCTCAAATGAAGAGGAGCATTTTGATTCACCTACAGTTTTCTTCATTCCCTGGTCTTATTTCCCAGTGCCAGGCAGGTATGAAAGACTGATGCATTTTGTGAAGTGCAGCCCTTGACAGTGTCTCCCTCCATCTTTTAAAGGGTCTCTCTGGACCCAATAGAGCGGGATGGTCTAGTTAGTGCTGTGAAGTTCAGCATAATATCATTTTTCTCAACCCTCCTAATTATGGGAATCACCATAAAGAGCATGCTTTCTCAATATGTACAGCATATGCCATCAGCTCACATTCATACACAAAAAAAACAAGAAAAGAAAAACAAAGGCTAGAAGTGTGTCTCAGTGTTAAAGCATTTGCGTGGAATGCTCAAAGCCTTGGCTTTAATCACTAGCAACACTCCCACCCAAAGAAAAAGTAGTTCAAATAAAACATTTTGAATGATTATACTCGGTTGCTTTGAAAATTTGTTGTTTTAAATATTCAAGAAATATCCACTGTATTATTCAAACTATGTAGTTGTTCTGGTAAAAGCAAGACTCTCCTGACCGTGAAAAGATCAGTCGTTGCAGTGTTGGGGGTCGGGGGGTGGGGAGGCTATGACCAGATGGAACACAGGAGCTATCTAAGGCAATGAAACTATTCTATATATGACTCTACAATATGGATACCAATCATTACACATTTGCCTAAACTCACAGGATGCAGAACACTAAGAGTGAACCCTAATGTTAACTGCAGACTTTGGATAATGATGGACCAGTGCAAGTTATCTGTAACCAGTGTATTACTCTAGAGGAGAGCACTGGCAATGGAGGGAGGCAACCTACGTGTGGGAGGCACAGAGTAAACAGGAAATCTCTGTATCTTCAATTTTTCTGTGAACTTAAACCTGCTCTAAAGAACAAAGTTATTAGTAGATAGGTTATAGCTCAGTGGTACAGCACTTGCCTAGCATGCGTGAGGTCCTAGGTTCAGGTCCAAGCACTGCAAAATAGAAAAAAAAAGTTACCAATTAAAAAATAGCCACCGAACCTGCTATTACCACATTATAGCTAGTCATGGTCACTTTAAAATTTGAGATAATTAAAGACCAAAGTAACAGAGTATATTCTCCTACTGGAGAATACGAAAATATATAGAATAATTTAAATTACATACTTAGGCAAGAAATAATTGATAAAAGTGACATAACATTTTATTTTTAGTGACACAAATCACTTTTTAATGACACAACCATGCAATAATATTTACTAAATGGAATCCATTTACTAAAAAATTTAAACTTTACCATTAAAAGAGA